CCCCCCCTCCCTCGCCCCCTCCACCCCTCCCCCCCTCCACCCCTCCCCCCCTCCATCCCTCGCCCCCTCCCTCCCTCGCCCCCTCCATCCCTCGTCCTCGCCCCCTCGTCCCTCGTCCTCGCCCCCTCCATCCCTCACCCTCCCCTCCACACCACGCCCATCCCAGCCCCCCACCTTGCCCTCTCTCTTTCTTCCTCACTTTTTTTCCTCTTTCTCCGCTCTATCTCCCTCTCTATCAGTGCCATTGTCTTTGCCTTTGAGCATCCTCCCCCCGGATTTGCACCCTCTCTCTGTCCTCCTGCATCTTCCCACTGGTTCAGCGAGATATCCCTGTAACGACCCGTGTCCCCAACACCCTCAGCTCTGTGTGTGGAATTTGTGTCTGTGTGGGATCTAAAACAGGTATGTCCTTCACTGACTTAATCCTGTGCTCGTTGACCTTCACACTTGTTCAATTTGCTGCCTCTGCGCCTGTCTCAGTCTGACTGTATCTGGGATTGCGAAGACTCTGTGCCACGTTCTGTGAAGAATGTAAATCAAGCTGCCACCCTGCGTGCTGAATGTAACTAAATGCTGGGCTCTTTTCCTTTCTACTTGCTGCCTTGGACCTGCTCAGGGAGAGACAAGAGCTCCATGTGGGACCAGCTGGAGGACGCAGCCATGGAAACCCTATCTCTGAGTAACAAACCTCTCCCATATCTGCTGTCGCACCGGTGCTGCATGCCTGGCTTCCACCTGCCAGTGAAACCTTCTCCAGCCTTTCCACAGTCGATTCCCTGTCTGTCAGGGCCACAAGATGTCATCCTGTTACATCCACGCTCCTAGTCAGGGCCACCTTTCAGATCTCACTGCTCTCATGACCTCAGTGTCATGCACCTCCACTCCCCGCCGTAGCCCCGGTGTCTCCTCTCCCACCGTGACCCCAATGGCTCCTCTCCTGCCAAGCTGCAGCAGCCTCAGTGGGAGCCATCTGACTGGGAGCTGTGACACTGAGAGAGCCACCTTGTCTCAGAGTTAATGCAGGATGTTTATCCGAGAGAGATCGACTGTGAGCCACTGGCGATGTGTTCATTGCAGGCCACCGTGTGGTTACAGGATAGTTACCCATGCGTTCTGTGCCCATTTGAGTTGATGTGGATTTTTTGCATGTTGCCAGGAATGTGTCTGGGTTTATTTGCAACTTACAGTGTGCCCCATCTGCTGTTGGCCCAGCACCAGTCGGTGACCGGGTTAATACACAAACTACGACTGCACTCCCTCCCTCAACCCTGCCCAAACACCAAGTTTCAGTGACTGGTCCCCACATGGTGCATCAGTCTCTATTCCCACCTCCACCAACATCCTCCCCACCTCCCAACCCTCAACAGTTACAGTTGAGCTACAACCTTCCTTTGCCACCTGCCTAACCTGAAAAACTTGCTGTGTAGTTGCCCCTCACCCCCCCATAATTGGGTATAGATCATCATGATCACTCGCTGGGGATTAATTGCCCTTCCATCCCTGTTACGTGATGATAATCCTGCCCCCTTGCTGGGTGTCTGCCCCTATCCTGATCTCCCATATCCTCACTTCTCCTGCTCCCTGCCCTTACCCTCTCTGGAAAGAGTCGTTTGTGACTCCATATCTGTTCCAGTATGGCTGAGCCCCAGGCACACTGCTGGCCCTCTGGGCTATTTAGGGATAGTCCTCAGATTGTGCAATGCATGGGTGAGGGATGAACTCCTGTGACTGTCTCACCTGCTGCTCCCCATCCACAGGCAAGGAACGCTCAATACTGTGGGACCAGGTCCAGTTCTGGGAGGACACATACCTTGATGCTGTGATGTTAGAAAGAGAAGGAATGGGCATGGACCAGGGGCCCCAAGAAATGATTGACAGGTAGGGCACACCTCTGCCACTCAGTAATAACATCTGAAGTAGGTACCATGTGTTGAGGGTAACCAGTTAACTAATCTGGCACTCTTCCTCCAGGTACGAGTCACTGGGGGAGCATGACCGAAAGCGGCTGGAAGATGATGAAGACCGATTGCTGTCCACACTGCTCTACAATATGATCATCTACATGCTGATGGTCAAGGTCAGCACTCTGCTGTTTACTTTATACACAGACGTTAGGGCCCAGGAAAGGGACAGCACAAGGTTAGATACAGAGTAAAGCTGTCTCTATACTGTCTCACCAAACTCTTACAGGAGCAGAATTGTACTTTTGGGCAGATGTTCTGTTTTTCCATCTCTCTAAGATCATATTATCCATGAGGTCCACTTTCTGTTACCTCAGCTGCTGATCACCCATCTTCCCCTCCTAGTTCCCGTGTCAGACACTATTGTTAACTGTCCCCTGACTGGTGTTATCTATCTCTCCTTTAACTCTACTCTCGTCACCGCTCTCTCCAAAATCTATACTCTTTACCACTTGGTCCTTATTGTTATTATTATTGTTATATAAACGTTATTGTTCCACCTGCAACCTTTCTTTCATCTCGAAAACCCTGGAGTGTGTAAAGATGTCTCAAATTCAGGTTTCTCAGAAATCCATGTTTGAACTCCCAATTATTCTCCACTGTGCCACTGTATTGAAACAGCTCTTAACAAAATCACAAATGACATCCCATGCTGCAGTAAACACTTCCTCCGTGTCCTTAGAGTCGTAAAGATCTATAGCACAGAAAAAGGCCCTTCAGCCCATCACATCCACATCAGTCAAAACAAGTATCTAACTATTCCAATCCCATTTCCCAGTATTTGGCCTTGTATGCCTTGACATTGCAAGTGAACATCTAAATTCTTTCCTAAATGTTATGAGGCTTTCTACCTCTACCACCCTTACAGGCAGAGGGTTCCAGATTCCCTCCACCCTCTGGGTGACAACGTTTTCCACACATGCTGTAAACCTACTCCTTGCCTTAAGTCTCTGCCTGTGGTCATTGATCAAGGGGAAAAGTTTCTTCCTGACTATCCTATCTATGCTCCTCAATTTTATTCATCTCAATCATGTCCCCTCCCTTTAAGGAAGACAATCCTAGACTCTCCAATCTCTCTACAGAGCTAAGACTCTCCAGCCCAGGCAACACCTGGTAAATCTCCTATGTGTCCTTTCCAGTGCAATCATACCCCTCCTATAATGTGGATTCAGGAACGAGCCTAACCAATGTTTTGTACCGTTCCAGCATGACTTCCCTGCTCTTAAACTCTATTACGTGGCTTATAAAAGCAAGTATGCCTTCTTAACCACTTATCCACCTGGTAACTTAAGGGACCGGTGTATATGCACACCGAGTCTCTCTGATCCTCGGTGCTTCCTAAAGTCCTACCATTCATCATGTATTCCATTGCCTTGTTTATCCTGCCCAAGTGCATCACCTCACATTTATCCAAATTGAATTCCATTTGCCACTGATCAACCCATCTGACCAGCCCAGTTATATCCTCTTCTAGTCTAAGGCTATTTTCCTCCACTATTTACTGCCCCACCAATTTTTGTATCATCTGCGAACTTACTGATCAACCCTCCTGCATTCAAGTCTAAATCATTTACATAAACCCCACCACTGACCCCTGTGAGACCTCACTGGGCACAGACTCCCAGTTAGATAAACACTCCTCAACAGTACCCTGTGCTTCCTGCAACTCAACCAATTGTGGATCCAATTTACCAAATTTCCTTGGATTCCCGTGGGCACTTATTTTTGCTGTCAGCCTCCCATGCGAACTTATTAAAAGCCTTGCTGAAGTCCAAGTTGATGACATCAAAAGCATTGTTCTTAACCACATACCTGGTCACCTCTTTGAAAAATTCAGTCAAGTTGATCAGACATCATCTCTCCTTAACAAAACTATGCTGACTGTTCTTGATTAATCCCCATCTCTCCAAATGCAGCTTCATTCTGCCCTTCAGAATTGTTTCCAATACTTACCCCGCCATTGAGGTTAGACTGACTGGTCTTTAGTTTCCTGGTTTATCCCTTTCTCCCTTCCTGAATAATTGTACCATATTGGTTGCCCTTCAGTGCTCTGGTACCTCTCCTGTGGCCAGAGAGGAATTGAAAATTTTTGCTAGCTCCCCTGCTATTTGCTCACTTGCCTCACCCAAGAACTTCATCCGGCCCTGGAAATTTATCCAATTTTTACCCTGCAAGATCACTTAGAAGCTCCTCTTTGTGCTAATTTCTTTAATTGTTTCAGAGACTTACTCCCTGATTCCTATACCCGTATTGTCCCTCTCACTAGTGAACCCTGACATTCATTTAGAATCCTACCTACATCCTCTGGTTCCTTGTACAAATTAGCAATGCAGTCCTTAATGACCCCTACTCTTGCCCGTGTTATCCTTTTTCCCTTAATGTGCCTGTAAAATAATTCAGGATTTTCCTGCCAGTATTCTTTCATGCCCCTTTTAGTTCTCCTAATCTCTCTTTTATGTTCCCTCTGGCACATCTGTATTCCTCTAGGGCTTCAGCTGTTTTAAGCCTTTGGTATCTGCCATATGTCTCCCTTTTTCTCTTTATCTAATACTGTGTATCCCTTGATATCCATTGTCCCACCCTTTTTCTTAATTGGAACATGTTGGCCCTGTAGTGTCCGTATTTCCTTCTTGAATGTAATCCACTGTTCTAACACAGATTTACCTGGAAGTACATGTTCCAAGTCCAGTCTGGCCAAATCATCTGATCTTCTTAAAATCAGCCTTCCCTCCCCCAGCGCCAACCCAATTGTGAACTTTGATTTCAGGTCCATTCTTGTCCTCTTCCATCACAATCTTGAATCTAATGGAGTTACGATTGCTGTCTGCAAAGTGCTTTCCCACTGATACTTCAACCACATGCCCAGCTTTGTGACCTACAATTAACAACGGACAGTATAGTACAGGAACAGGCCCTTTAGCCCACCAAGCCTGTGTCAACACCTGATGCATTTCTACACTAAAAACCTTTTGCCTCAACGTGGTCTGTATCCCTCTATTCCCTGCCTATTCATGCATCTGGCAAAATGACTCTTAAACATTGCTAGTGTATCTGCTCCTAACACCACCTCTGGCAGCACCTTACCATCCTCTGTGTAAAAATACTTGCCTCTCACATCTCCTTTAAACTCCTTTTATCTTCAATCTATGTTCCTTAGTAATTGACCTTTCTACCCTGAGGAAACAAGACTCCAACTGTCCATTCTATCCACGTTACTCATTTTGTAAACCTTTCAGGTTGACCCCTAGCCTCCGATGTTCAAAGGAAAATAAACCGAGTTTGTCCAATCCCTCCTCATAGCTATTCCCTCCAAACCAGGCATCAGCCTGGTTAAACTGTTTCTGTACCCTTTCCAGAGCTTCCCTATCCACATAATAGTGTGGTGACCAGAACTGTACACAGTTTTCCAAATGTAGCCTTAAAGTTCTATACAGCTGGAACATAACTTGCCAATTTTTATGCTCTATGCCCCGACTGTTGAAAGCAAGTATGTCATATGCCTTCTTGACCACCTTATCCACTTATAGAACATAGAACATTACATCGCAGTACAGGCCCTTCGGCCCTCGATGTTGTGCCGACCTGTGAAACCAATCTGAAGCCCATCTAACCTACACTATTCCATTATCATCCATATGTTTATCCAATGACCATTTAAATGCCCTTGAAGTTGGTCAGTCTACTACTGTTGCAGGCAGGGTATTCCACGCCCTTACTACTCTCTGAGTAAAGAACCTGCCTCTGACATCTATCCTATATCTATCACCCCTCAATTTAAAGCTATGTCCCCTCGTGCTAGCCATCACCATCCGAGGAAAAAGGCTCTCGCTGTCCACCCTATCTAATCCTCTGATCATCTTGTATGTCTCTATTAAGTCACCTCTTAACCTTCTTCTCTCTAACGAAAACAGCCTCAAGTCCCTCAGCCTTTCCTCATAAGACCTTCCTTCCATACCAGGCAACATCCTGGTAAATCTCCTCTGCACCCTTTCCAATGCTTCCACATCCTTCCTATAATGCGGTGACCAGAACTGTACGCAATACTCCAAGTGCGACCGCACCAGAGTTTTGTACAGCTGCATCATGACCTCATGGCTCCAAAACTCAATCCCTCTACCAATAAAACCTAACACACCATACGCCTTCTTAACAACCCTATCAACCTGGGTGACAACTTTCAGGGATCGATGCACATGGACACCAAGATCTCTCTGCTCATCCACACTACCAAGAATCTTACCATTAGCCCAGTACTCTGTATTCCTGTTACTCCTTCCAAAGTGAATCACCTCACACTTTTCCACATTAAACTCCATTTGCCACCTCTCAGCCCAGCTCTGCAGCTTATCTATGTCCCTCTGTAACCTGCAACATCCTTCCGCACTATCCACAACTTCACCGACTTTAGTGTCATCCGCAAATTTACTAACCCATCCTTCTACGCTCTCATCCAGGTCATTTATAAAAATGACAAACAGCAGTGGCCCCAAAACAGATCCTTGCGGTACACCACTAGTAACTGAACTCCAGGATGAACATTTCCCATCAACCACCACCCTCTGTCTTCTTACAGCTAGCCAATTTCTGATCCAAACCGCTAAATCACCCTCAAACCCATGCCTCCGTATTTTCTGCATTAGCCTACCGTGGGTAACCTTATCAATGCTTTACTGAAATCCATATACACCACATCAACTGCTTTACCCTCATCCACCTGTTTGGTTACCTTCTCAAAGAACTCAGTAAGGTTTTTGAGGCACGACCTACCCTTCACAAAACCATGTTGACTATCCCTAATCAAATTATTCCTTTCTAGATGATTATAAATCCTATCTCTTATAATCCTTTCCAACACTTTACCCACAACCGAAGTAAGGCTCACTGGTCTATAATTACCAGGGTTGTCTCTACTCCCCTTCTTGAACAAGGGGACAACATTTGCTATCCTCGAGTCTTCTGGCACTATTCCTGAAGACAATGACGACATAAAGATCCAAGCCAAAGGCTCTGCAATCTCCTCCCTAGCTTCCCAGAGAATCCTAGGATAAATCCCATCCGGCCCAGGGGACTTATCTATTTTCACACTTTCCAGAATTGCTAACACCTCCTCCTTATGAACCTCAATCCCATCTAGTCTAATAGCCTGTATCTCAGTATTCTCCTCGACAACATTGTCTTTTTCCTGTGTGAATACTGATGAAAAATATTCATTTAACGCCTCGCCTATCCCTTTGGACTCCATGCACAACTTCCCACTACTGTCCTTGACTGGCCCTAATCTTACTCCAGTCATTCTTTTATTCCTGACATACCTATAGAAAGCTTTAGGGTTTTCCTCGATCCTACCTGCTGAAGACTTCTCATGTCCCCTCCTGGCTCTTCTTAGCTCTCTCTTTAGGTCCTTCCTGGCTAACTTGTAACTCTCAAGCGCCCTAACTGAGCCTTCACGCCTCATCTTTACATAAGCCTCCTTCTTCCTCTTGACAAGAGATTCAACTTCTTTAGTAAACCACGGTTCCCTCGCTCGACCACTTCCTCCCTGCCTGACAGGTACATACTTATCAAGGACACGCAGTCGCTGTTCCTTGAACAAGCTCCACATTTCAATTGTGCCCAGCCTCTGCAGTTTCCTTCTCCATCCTATGCGTCCTAAATCTTGCCTAATCGCCTCATAATTGCCTTTCCCCCAGCTATAACTCTTGCCCTGTGGTATATACCTATCCCTTTCCATCGCTAAAGTAAACGTAACCGAATTGTGGTCACTATCACCAAAGTACTCACCTACCTCCAAATCTAACACCTTGGCCTGGTTCATTACCCAATACCAAATCCAATGTGGCTTCGCCTCTTGTTGGCCTATCTACATACTGTGTCAGGAAACCCTCCTGCACACATTGGACAAAACTGACCCATCTAAAGTACTCGAACTGTAGCATTTCCAGTCAATATTTGGAAAGTTAAAGTCCCCCATGACAACTACCCTGTTACTTTCGCTCCTATCCAGAATCATCTTTGCAATCCTTTCCTCTACATCTCTGGAACTTTTCGGAGGCCTATAGAAAACTCCCAACAGGGTGACCTCTCCTTTCCTGTTTCTAACCTCAGCCCATACTACCTCAGTAGACGAGTCCTCATCAAATGTCCTTTCTGCCACCATAATACTGTCCTTGACTAACAATGCCACACCTCCCCCTCTTTTACCACCTTCCCTGATCTTACTGAAACATCTAAACCCCGGAACCTGCAACAACCATTCCTGTCCCTGCTCTATCCATGTCTCCCACATGGCCACAACATCGAAGTCCCAGGTACCAACCCATGCTGCAAGTTCATCCACCTTATTCCGGATGCTCCTGGCGTTGAAGTAGACACACTTCAAACCACCTTCCTGCCTGCTGGTACACTCCTGCAACCTTGAAACCTTATTCATAACCTCAGTACTCTCAACCTCCTGTACACTGGAGCTACAGTTCAGGTTCCCATCCCCCTGCTGGATTAGTTTAAACCCTCCCGAAGAGCATTAGCAAATTTCCCCCCCAGGATATTGGTGCCCCTCTGGTTCAGGTGTAGACCATCCCGTTTGTAGAGGTCCCACCTACCCCAGAATGAGCCCCAATTATGCAGGTGTCTGAATCCCTCCCTCCTGCACCATCCCTGTAGCCACGTGTTCAACTGCTCTCTCTCCCTATTCCTCGTCTTGCTAGCACATGGCATGGGTAACAAACCAGAGATAACAACTCTGCTAGTTCTAGCTCTAAGCTTCCACCCTAGCTCCTTGAATTTCTGCCTTACATCCCCATCCCTTTTCCTACCTATGTAGTTGGTGCCTATGTGGACCACGACTTGGGGCTGCTCCCCCTCCCCCTTAAGGATCCCGAAAACACAATCCGAGACATCACGGACCCTGGCACCTGGGAGGCAACACACCAACCGCAAGTCTCTCTCGTTCCCACAGAATCTCCTATCTGTCCCCCTAACTCTGGCGTCCCCAATGACTAATGCTCTCCTCCTCTCCTCCCTTCCCTTCTGAGCAACAGGGACAGACTCTGTGCCAGAGACCTGTACCCCATGGCTTACCCCTGGTAAGTCGTCCCCCCAACAGTATCCAAAACGGTATACTTGTTATTGAGGGGAATGGCCACAGGGGATCCCTGCACTGTCTGCCTGTTCCCTTTCCATCCCCTGACTGTAACCCATCTACCTTTTTCCTGTACCTGAGGTGTGACTACCTCCCTGTAACTCCTCTCAATTACCCCCTCAGCCTCCCGAATGATCCGAAGTTCATCCAGCTCCAGCTCCAGCTCCAGCTCCAGTTCCCTAACGCGGTTTCCGAGGAGCTGGAGTTGGGTGCACTTCCCGCAGATGAAGTCAGTGGGGACACTAGTGGTAACCCTTACCTCCCACATTCTACAGGAGGAGCATGCAACTGCCCTAACATCCATTCCCACTGTTCTGAATTCTGAAAAAAAAACTAGTAACCTTACCAAATCGGCGCTCAGAACCTGTTTTTTTGGTTAGAGGAGGAGGATGGGTGGGAGACACTTATGTTGCCACTTTCAGGGAACTGTAGATCTGAATGGCTAGATCTCTGTATGTCAATGCTACTAAGAGTTCTACCATTTAAGTCCGGGACCATCCCCTGTCTTGTTGGACCTTCTACATATTTAAGCTGTCCTTGAAGGATTCTGCTCCCTCCAAACCTTTCAAATACCGCCCCAGTTACTGTCGCTATCCTGTTACTTTTACACTTCCCTGAAATTTGCCTACGTATGTGCTTTTCTATTTCTTTCAAACTGTTAGAGGACCCTACAGTACACTCCCAGCAATGAGATTGCTCCTTTTTAGATCTTGCATTTTGTAGAGTGACCTGCCATCATGCTGCAACACTACTTCACTTGTCCAGCTGGGTGGGTCTATTCTCATCCAGTTCCATTCTTATTTGTCCGAAAGTATCCAGAGAATCACCAACAATGGCTTCACTTGCTACTTCTGCACCATTAGCCTCTGGGGTCCCTTGATTTATTCTTGGTCCCACCTCCTATTGCTCACTCGTACGTCCTCAGCTGCATGGTTTTGTTTGTCAATGCATACACTGCACTTCGCCCCCACCACTGTCCATTCCCCTATTGGCATTAAACCTGACATCAAGCGCTGGATAAGCAAACATTTCCCTCAATTAAATATTGAGAAGACTGAAGCTGCAGTCTCTCATGAACTACCAGCTCCACCACTCAGCCTGAGATGAGCCTGCCTATGTGCATTATTTCTGTTGGTTTCAACCTTGAATGAACTTCTGACCACATGTTTATCCGTTGCTGTTTCCATTTCTGTGAGGTTGCCCAGTTTGGTCCGTGCCTCGATGCATCGGCTTCTACAGCCATCGTTACTTGCGCCTTGAGTTCTGAAGAGGGGCCACTGGACCCAAATGTTAACTCTGTCCACAGATGCTGATTTTCTCCAGGTGTTTCTGTTTCGGATTTCCAGCAACCACAGTTATTTGTTTCTTTTTGTTTACTCTTTATTGCATGTACCTTTCCTGCCCCTCAGTAATTCTAGCCCTTGTCCAGTCTCCCTCTTTAGGTCACACGAAACTCTGGCCCTGTTTTAACTCATGCTATTCCACCCCCACCCCCTGTTCACCTGTGCTTATCTACATTGGCTCCCAGGCAAGCAATGTCTTATTTGTTTTTAAGTGTGCCATTCTGTCTCATTGTTATTTTTCAATCCTCCCTAGCCTCCTTCATCCATATTTCTGTAATCGCTTCTGGATCCTCAATCCTCCGATACATCGGCATTCCCCTAATGATCTGGTCTCTTGTACATTGCTGATTTTAATCACTTTGCCATTGGTGGCTGAGCCTACAGTTGCCTAGATCCCAAACGCTGAAATACCTTCCTGATGCTACTTCCCTTTTGTTTCCTCCTTTAAGACAGCTGACCTGACCAGATGTTTCCTCCTTACAAGATTTAGTGTCTTATTTTGTTTTTGTATGCTGTGAAACACACCTTAAAGCCAACAATATCCCATTGTATATCAAAGTTGTTGGTATCTTTGTGTTGAAGCTCTGTTTTCAAGCAGGAGTTGAGCTGGGGGTGATAGCGAAGCTCTGTGGTGATTTGTCAAGGGTGTTATGGATGTTGAGGATAACTGAGCGTCACATCTTATTTGCAGGTCAACAAGAATGACATCAGGAAGAAGGTGAGGAGGTTGATGGGTAAATCACACATTGGGCTGGTGCACAGTCAGGAAGTGAATGACCTGCTCGATCGCCTTCCACATCTGGTGAGCATTCCACTTCATCACAGCTGCAGCTTATCGTGTCCCCCATCCTCGGGTGTATGGTCAGGTACACATGGCAGCAACAATTACAATCAGGCAGACTCATTGTAGGGACAATACAGTTAGAGGCACTTAGTGCAAGAAGACTACAGTTAGACACAATGTAGGAAGCATTCAATGTTGTTACTTCAGTAGATGATAGTTCTGGGCAGTTCATATCCCAAAATGAAACTAGGCTTAATTGATCAATGATTTTAGTCTGTTGAGCTAACATGGTTAATCCGTAAGTTATAGTCAGGGTTTCTTTAAAAGATCAACTGAAGTTAATTGCACAAAATAAGAAAGAGAAACAAACCAAGCTAACTAAAAATAGAATATAGTTAGATGATCTTAAAACACAACGAAGTTTCAACACGTTCCTGATGTTATTTACCATAGAGACTCTAGTCCAGAGAAATTGTACCCCCCAACTCTTGATAATTCAGTGAGTCCTTACCAAGTCTGCCAACATGAACTTAGCATAAGTCAAAAGTTTAAGCCTATGTTCTAGTAACCCATAGGTCTCAGACCACATCATTGTGATTTGGAAGCTGTGTAAACTAAGTCCTCCTAAGGCGAGAGATTCCCTGAAGAGCCCTGAGTTCCTTTCTAGGAGCGAAACTGAGCTTGACTCTGGTGTTTTGTGAACTAAATACGAAGCCTGAAGGCACTACCTGTTTCCCTTAGGTGTTGTAAAAGTTTCATTAATCTATTAACACCGTAGAGGACTGCAGTCTCCTGCATATTGACAGAAATAGGATCAAGGTCACTGTCTGGAAGGTAGACTGCAGTGAGGCACAGAGTGAGCGTGAGGATTACAGTGGGACACAGTGATTAGGTGGATGACAGTGAGGCAGAGAGTGTGCGGGCGTGAGGATCAGAGCGAGGCAGAGAGTGTGCGGGCATGAGGATCAGAGCGAGGCAGAGAGTGTGCGGGCGTGAGGATCAGAGCGAGGCAGAGAGTGTGTGGGCGTGAGGATCAGAGTTGGACAATCAGCAGAGTGATTATGGTCAGGTACAGTGGGAGGGCTGTAGTCAGACTGACACTAGGACAAACAATGGGAGGATACAGTCTGTGTTCGGAAGATCCTGCTGCAAGTTTAGAGATGGGTTTGCCAGTGATGTGTCATGTCTGGCCTGTGGTTGATGGCCGTTGCCCTCATGGCTTTGCACTTATTTCTCAGGAGAGCCGCGATCTCCACATTCGACCCTGTGGCAGCCGTCACATCAAGAAGCAGACCTTTGTGGTACATGCAGGAACAGACACCAATGGTGAAATCTTCTTCATGGAGGTACTGGGCACCTAAATTACACCAGAATCATAAAGCTAATGCCACCTCTGCTGCACAGTGGAGAATGTGCAATAAAAAATAACTGGCTCATCACTAATTCTCTCTGAGGCAAGCCCAAGGCATGCACATGTCATGTGACATTTAGCCAGATGGTACTCTCGATATTTGCCAAACTGAACACAACACCTTCAAATCCATCCTGCCATTCAATATCCTTCATTATCTGAATAATAGTTCACATTTTTCTCAGTCCGCTCTTCACTGGGGTTGTGGTACTGATTTCTCTACACAACAGCACACACCACTGATACTGGCCCCCACACTTGGTGTATGGTGCAATCGTACAAACTCAGTTGGCCATTTAGCTCTTTGTGTGTTCTACCATGCAATGGGATCATGTCTCATCTGTGGCCTAACTCCATACCTTTGCTAAACAGAAGATTACCTATTTCCGATTTAAAACTAACAATTGATCCAGCATCCAATGCTATCAATGGAAGAGCATTCCAAACATCTACCACCCATTGTGTGTAAAAATGCTTTCTAACGTCTTTCTTGAACAGTCTGGTTCTAATTCAGACTTTGTCACCTAATTCTAGAATTCCCAACCGTCGGAAACAGTTTATCTTTATCTACCCTGCCTTTTCCTGTTAATGTCTTGGAGACTTTGATCAGATTGCCCTTAACCTTCTAAATTCAAGAGAAATTGGCCTAATATGTATAATCTCTCCTCATAACTTAGCGTCTGAAGTCCAGGCATCATCTTGTAAATGCTGTACTCCTTCAAGGGTTGATGTATCCTTCCTAAGACTTGATGTCCAAATCAGCTCTCAGTACTCCAGGTGGAGTCTAGCCAGGGTTCTGTGTAAGTGCAGCATAATTTCTGCATTCCTGTACTCTAGTCCTCTAGATGTAAAGGCCAGCATTCCATTAGCTGCCTTGATTCAAATCAAAGAACTTTACAATACAGAAATGGTTATTCAACCTATTGTGTCTTTACAGGGTCCCAAAGGAGCTAGCTAGCTAGTCCCATTCTCCTGGCCTATCCATCATCCTCTAAATTTATCACTTACAAACATATATGCAGCTCTCTTTTGAAACCTTCTATGGAATCTGCCTCCACCACTCTCCCAGGCAGCACATTCCAAATTCTAACAACTGAGTAAGGAAGTTTCTTCTTTTCTCACTCTGAGCTCTTGTGCTGACAGTCTTGATGTTATGACCCCTAATTACTGACTTGGCAACTCATGGAAATAGAAAATCCTTCTTTACACTGTCAAAATTGTTCATAAATTTGAGCACTTCAATAAGAAGTGTTCTTTAGCTTCTCTTCTCCAAGGAGAAAACCGCCCAATCTCTCTAATCTTTCCTTTTATCTAAAATCCCTCATTTCTGGTATCACTCTTGTAAATCTTCTCTGAACTTTTTCCAGGGCTTTAACACCCCTCCTTAAATAAGGTGCCCAGAACTGAACACAATACTGCAAATGATCAATGATTTAGAGAGATGTAGCATCACTTCCTTGCTTGTATACTCTATGCCTCTATTTATAAACCCAAGGATCCTACCAGCCTTTTGAACAACTGTTTCAACTTGCCTAGCCACTTTCAGAGAATTATGCATGTGAACCCTGAGGTCCCTCTGCTCCTGTACTCCCCTCAAAGTTTTACCATTGAGTCTGTATTGTCTCTCCCTATTTCTTCTACCAAAATGCATTACCTCACATTTCTCAGCATTGAAACTCATCTACCAGGTGTCTGCCCATTCGGCCTGCTTGTCAACGTCACCGTGAAGTTACTCAGTGTTATCCTCACAATTCACTATTCTCCCTAACTTAGTATCATCTGCAAATGTAGAGATTTTGCCCCCAACGTTCATCTCCAAATCGTGTATGTAAATCAGAAAACCAAGGGTCACAATACCAATCACTGGGGAGCACCACTTTCTCCTTGTCTCCAATCTGAAACATGCCCATCCGTATCTACCCTCGCCTTCCTATCCTTTAGCCAACTTCTAATCCATGCTGCCAAGGACCCATCAATCCCAAACATTTCTAATTTGCTAACCAACTTGCCGTGTGGCACCATGTCAAATGCTTTCTGAAAGTCCAAACACACGTTAACCTCATCTACTCATCAAAGAACTCAATTAAATTTGTCAGACATGACCTGCTTTTGACAAAGCTGTCAACTATTAACTTAATTTTGCTTAAAGTGTGTGTTTACTTTATCCTGTATTATGGCCTCCATCAGGTTTTCCTACAATTGACATCAAGCTGACAGTTCTGTATTTTCCTGGGTTATCCTTTGCCCCTTTCTTAAACAACGGCATCACATTTGCAATCCTCCAGTCCCCTGGGATGACTACTATGTGCAGAGAGGCCTGGAAAATTTCTGTCAACAGCTCTGTCATTTGTTCCCTTGCCCCTCTCAGCAATTTAGAATGCATCCCATCCAGGCTGGCGACTTCTCTACCTGGAGTGCAGCCAGCCCTTTTAGCACCTCTTTATCTATCACTATGCTGCTAAATTGCTCAGCACCCGTATTTTCAACTAGGCCATTGTCACCATCTTCTAATTTGGTAATGACAGAAGCAAAATGTTCATTTCGTACTTCTGACATTTCTTTTTGCTTACTGTACTTGTTCCTTATGGGCCCGACTCTAATCGTTTACTATTAATATATTTGAAGAATATTTCACTCTTTGTTTTAGTGCAGCCTGTCATCCTTTCCTCATGGTTCCTCTTACCCTTCCTTATTCCAGTTTAGGCCTCCCTCCTGTATTTGAGATACTCTTCCTGATTTCCGTTGCTCTTATTATTCCAGTATGCATCGTATGCCTCCTTTTTCTTCCTGTTTTCTCATCAATAGCCTCAGTCATCCAGGGTACTCTCGCTTTGGATACCCCATATTTATTTCTCATGGCTATGTACCTAGCCTGTACCTTATTCACCTGTCTATTGAAATTCACTCATTTTTCATCCGCTGTTTTATCCATTAAAATACAATTCCAATCAACTTGCTTCAGTTCAATTTTTGGACCCCTGAAATCTGCCCTTTTCCAGTCTGGGATCTTAATCCTTGACTGATTTATTATCCATTTGTAACTTAATATTGAATCTTATCACATTATGATTTCTACAGCACAACCCTACTTGTCCTGCAGAATCCCAAAACCTGCCTACATGTGCTATCTTCTACTTCCTCTCCATTATTTGGAGATCTATAATTTTTTTATTTCACACATACACTTTATTTATAAAAATCAACTGGACATATATACAAAGGTTTCAAATCATATCTGTACAGTATTTGCAGAGAGAAAACCAAATAAAACATGGGAATTTTGACATTTCTCAAAGCTCTACAGTTGTAGAGTCACAGAATCACAGATCAGACATCCCAGTCTGATCCAGTGTCATTTGCCATCATTTGGCCCATATTCCTCTCAACCTTTTCTACTTGTTGCCAAAATAGGCATTTTCTACTTTTGCAGGCAACTAGTTATGTTCATTTTGAGTCTGACAACTGACTGGAGCCTTGTTGTACTTTGGCAGAAAGACCTCAGACAGTGGCCTTTCCCCACTGCACCTCGGTGGCAGCTTCCCGAAACTCTAGTGCATCCCTCAGCACGTAGTCCTGGACGTTAGAATGTGCCAGTCTGCAACGCTCGGTTGAAGTCAACCCTTGTTGGGCAGACCAAAGAAAGTCTTTCACTGAGTTGGTGGTCTTCCAGGCACAGTCAGTGTTTTGTCTCCATGTTCATCCCGGGGAACAGACTATAGAGCACAGAGTCCTGTGTCACGGAGGTGCTTGGGATGAACCGCGACAAAAGCTGCTGCATCTCTCACCGGACTTCTTTTGAAAGGCAGATTCCAGAAGGAGATGTGTGACAGTCTCTTCACCAGTTCAACCATTTTAAAGGCAGCATGCGGTGGCACACAGAGACTGGAAGTACATGAAGGATCTGACGGCTAATACCTTTCTTACCACCGCCAAGCAATGTCTTGGTGCTTGTTAGAAAGTTCCGGTGATGAGGCATTCTACTCAAGGAATCGCCTGACAAGATCCACATTATCCTTTTCCTGCAGGGACTCAAGGATGTTACTTGCTAACCATTTCCTGATGGATTTGTGGTCAAAGGTGTTTTTCTTTGCAAATTTTCCCACAAAGGTGATACAAAATGGTCTAAGTACCTCAAGTGTTCTGCGGCAATGAGATGAGACCACCTTCGTAACACCGGGGACAGGTTTTCCTTCATATGCAAAGACTGTACAGAACTAGTTTAGTATCTATGTGTTTACGCAAAGTTTATTTTTTATTAATAGACTGTGGTTATTGGTGTCTGTGGATGCCTGGCTCTAGCACTCTGTACTCCTTGTGTTTGATAGGTGTGTGATGACTGCATTGTGCTACGCAGTAATATCGGCACTGTCTATGAACGCTGGTGGTACGAGAAGCTCATTAACATGACGTACTGTCCTAAGACCAAGGTCCTGTGTCTGTGGAGACGTAATGGGCAGGAGACCCAGCTCAACAAGTTCTACACCAAGAAGGTACAAACACTGGATCTGCCCTCGTGGTCATTTCCACTCTGTCTGTCTCTCTTTCTATTTCTTGCGCTCCGTCAATCATCTGCTGCCCCTGTTGTGTGAGCACCTGAAGGGGTTAATGCTGAGATATTAAGCACCACCCAATATGATGATGATATGTAGGTTTGGTGGACGAACACCTTAGAATTGTAGAAACTAGGAGCAGTAGTAGGCCATTCAGCCCTTCAAGCCTGCTGCACCATTCTGTACGATCATGGCTGATCATCCAACTCCGTACCCTGTTCCTCCTTTCTCCTCAGACTCTTTGATCCTTTTAACCCTAAGAACTATATCTTGAAAACATACAATAGGATCTCAAAGGATTAAGATTCACTATCCGGTTCCTCCTCTTAACTGTTTGTAACATTCCCATCAGTGTAACGTCTGCCTGATTGCTATTATGCAATAAATGATGTCCTGTTTGAGACTGAATCTACTTCTTAGAGTCTGATCAGTGTGTGGTAGAGTGAGTGTGATTCGTTTCTGGTAGAATAAATGAGATCATTGTCTAGGAGAGTGATTATGATCAGCGAGTGATTGAGTGTGAGTGTGACCTCTGGGAGTAGATGGGGTAGGTAAATGTAAATATCTGCACAAATGTAAACAAAACAGGCTTGTTGTGTAAGAGTGTCAAGCTCTGAAAGAGATTATTCTAGCAAGTGTCTTAAGCCACACTGTCTAAGGCGATGCCAAACAGATTGGGTGGGAGAACAGATAAAAGTCTAGAAGGAATAAGATCCAGCATTTGGTTTTTCCTCACAGTCTCTGTAACAATGTCCAGTCAATCACTGTAACTTGTAGATAGTTGTAATCATGCAGTAAATACATCTTGCTTCAAACAAGAGTGTCTGATCATTAGATGAGCAAGTGGCTTTCCTCTACTGCTCCAGACCAATCAGATCCGGTAGATCTCAAGCAAGAAAGAGGGCAGTGCCCAGCAAATCTACTACTTGGATCTTGAAGCATGGATAGGCGGTGAAACAGAAACATCTTCCAACACCTCCACCTGTTGACCCACTGGCCAGTCTCTGTTTTCTCATTGCTTACAAACGTGGGATTGAGGTTCATAAGGAGGAGGTGTTAGCAATTCTGGAAGGTGTGAAAATAGATAAGTCCCCTGGGCCGGATGGGATTTATCCTAGGATTCTCTGGGAAGCTAGAGAGGAGATTGCAGAGCTTTTGGCTTTGATCTTTATGTCGTCATTGTCTTCAGGAATAGTGCCAGAAGATTAGAGACTAGCAAATGTTGTCTCCTTGTTCAAGAAGGGGAGTAGAGACAACCCTAGTAATTGTAGACCAGTGAGCCTTACTTCGGTTGTGGGTAAAGTGTTGGAAAGGATTATAAGAGATAGGATTTATAATCATCTAGAAAGGAATAATTTGATTAGGGATAGTCAACACGGTTTTGTGAAGGGTAGGTGGTGCCTCACAAACCTTATTGAGTTCTTTGAGAAGGTGACCAAACAGGTGGATGAGGGTAAAGCAGTTGATGTGGTGTATATGGATTTCAGTAAAGCGTTTGATAAGGTTACCCATGGTAGGCTATTGCAGAAAATACGGAGGCATGGGTTTGAGGGTGATTTAGCGGTTTGGATCAGAAATTGGCTAGCTGTAAGAAGACAGAGGGTGGTGGTTGATGGGAAATGTTCATCCTGGAGTTCAGTTACGAGTGGTGTACCTCAAGGATCTGTTTTGGGGCCACTGCTTTTTGTCATTTTTATAAATGACCTGGATGAGGACGTAGAAGGATGGGTTAGTAAGTTTGCAGATGACCCCAAAGTCGGTGGAGTTGTGGATAGTGCGGAAGGATGTTTCAGGTTACAGAGGGACATAGATAAGCTGCAGAGCTGGACTGAGAGGTGGCAAATGGAGTTTAATGCGGAAAAGTGTGAGGTGATTCACTTTGGAAGGAGTAACAGGAATACAGAGTACTGGGCTAATGGTAAGATTCTTGGTAGTGTGGATGAGCAGAGAGATCTCGGTGTCCATGTGCATAGATCACTGAAAGTTGCCACCCAGGTTGATCGCGTTGTTAAGAAGGCTTACGGTATGTTAGGTTTTATTGGTAGAGGGATTGAATTTCGGAGCCATGAGGTCACGTTGCAGCTGTACAAAACTCTGGTGCGGCCGCACTCGGAGTATTGTGTACAGTTCTGGTCACTGGAAGGATGTGGAAGCATTGGAAAGGGTGCAGAGGAGATTTACCAGGATGTTGCCTGGTATGGAGGGAAGGTCTTATGAGGAAAGGCTGAGGGACTTGAGGCTGTTTTCGTTAGAAGAAAGTTAAGAGGTGACTTAATAGAGACATACAAGATGATCAGAGGATTAGATAGGGTGGATAGTGGGAGCCTTTTTCCTCGGATGGTGATGGCTAGCACGAGGGGACATAGCTTTAAATTGAGGGGTGATAGATATAGGACAGATGTCAGAGGTAGGTTCTTTACTCAGAGAGTAGTAAGGGCGTGGAATGCCCTGCCTGCAACAGTAGTAGACGCGCCAACTTTAAGGGCATTTAAATGGTCATTGGATAAACATATGGATGATAATGGACTAGTTTAGGTTAGATGGGCTTCAGATTGGTTTCACAGGTCGGCGCAACATTGAGGGCCGAAGGGCCTGTACTGCGCTGTTATGTTCTATGTGGTGGGCTGAGCAGCCTGTTGTATGTTCTATGTAATATAACTAACCCCAGTTATGTGCTCTTTGGCAGTGTCGAGAGTTGTACTACTGTGTGAAGGACAGCATGGAGCGTGCAGCTGCAAGGCAACAGAGCATAAAACCAGGTATCACACCAACATGATTAGCACATAAGCATTAGACAGTTGGTGAGTGAATTCGCCCATGCCGAAGAGAGCATAAATGCCTTCACACAATCAGGGATCATGTACAGTCTTCAATGTTTTTACCTCAATGATAGAACATGGAACAGTGCAGCACAGGAATGGGCCCTTCGGCCCACAATTTTGTGCCGAACATGACACCAAATTAAACTAATCCCTTCTGCCTGCCATTGGTCCATATCCCTCCAATCCTTACATATTTATGTACTTATCTAAAAGTCCCTGAAACACCCTTATCATATCTGCCTCCGCCACCACCCCTGGCAGTGCATTCCAGAACCCTACCACTCTCTATGTAAAAAAAACTTGCCCCTCACATCTCCTTTGAACTTACCCCTCCCCTAAAATGCATGCCCACCGCCCCACCCGCAATGTTGACATTTCAGCTCTGGGAAAAAGATTCTGACTGTCAACTCTATCTATGCATCTCATAATTTTAAAGACTTCTATCAAGTCTCCTTTCAGGCTCTGCCAATCCATAGAAACCAATCTGAGTTTTACTATCTTCTCCTTACAGCTCATACCCTCTAATCCAGGCAGCATCCTGGTATCTTTCACCTTGGAATTATTCACAGTCATACTCAACTGTAAAACTTGAAAACTGGCATGTGGCCTCATGTGGTGACCCAGCCAAATCAGCTGCCCAATTGCACTAAGCAAGCCTTCCATTTCAGTTTTGAAACATGTAGCATTTTTTTTTTGTGAGGCCCTTCCATTGGCTAATAACATTAGGGCTAACATTCTTCAAATAAGATGCCAAATCAAAATGACACTTGATCTATTTTAGCCAAAGTGCACAGTCACACAGTCTCTGATGCAATTCTGGCACTTCTCCATTACAGAGGTTAGTCTAAGACGGCCATCATTTCATAATGTTTTACCTCATTCCTCTTTATAGGTGGAATAATACCCATAATTTCCCCGAGTAGCGCATTCTCTCTTCAATGGAGAGAGTTGTCCATGATTACAATGATTAATCAACACTTTGCTCAACAATTTCTTTTTATGTCCAGGCTGGTCAAATGTAAGGGACGTCACAGATTTGGCCATTTCAATCTGATCGTACTCCCCATGATCAAATTGTAACTTGTGTGGAATCCTGTTGGTCGAGGCCCCTGATTCATATTCATTTTGTCTTAAGTCTCTGATATTTCATCTTCATCTGCAACTGGCGATCAGTGTCAAGTACTTAATGTAGTAAATAAAAACCAAAAGAACTGCAGATGCTGTAAATTAGGAACAAAAACAAAGTTGTTGGAAAAGCTCAGCAGGTCTGGCAGCATCTGTGAAGGAGAAAACAGAGTTAACGTTTCGAGTCCAGTGACCCTTCCTCAGAACAGATTTAATGTAGTAAATCTGTCAATGAGCAATTTTAAAAGCAATGTCAGCTGTACAGTCTTTGAGAGTGCTACATAACAGGAACCATTCTCTTCATTTAAACAATCTTATTCTGATATTCCTCATAACATTTTGCAAATCTTAATCAAGTCTAAGTATTGCTTTGCTGTTCTTGATGTCTTTTTAGTCCTTGCGGCCCTTCCTGTAGATGGGATTTACGCTGGTCCTTTCTGTCCATTTAATACTGATGCAGCACCATTCTATTGGAGGGTCAGTGCTAAGGGAGCACTCCACTTTCAGAGGATTAGTACCGAGGGAGCACTGTACTGTTGGAGGATCTGCACTGAGGGAATGCCATGTGGTCAGAGCATGGCACTATTGCAGGATCATTGCTGAGGGAGCCCACAATGTCAAAAGGTCAGCGCTGAGGGAGAGCTGCACTTATCAGTGTGTCAGTACTGAGAGAGTGCCACACTGTTAGAGGGTCAGAACTGAAGGAGTGTTGCCCTGTCAAAGAGTCAGTGCTGAGGGAGCGCTGCACTGCTGGAGGGTCAGTATTGAGGGAGTGCCACACTATTTGGTGTTGTCTTTCGTAAATACGAACAAACGAATCGAGCCTGCTTCGCCAGTCATTGAGATTATTGGTAGTTTGTTTATGGTTTCAAAATTCCCTGTTCCAATCTACTCCCACTAACTCTCAATTCTCTGCTTAATTGCCTTAAAAATATTCACTGATCCTGCTTCTACTGCCTTCTGAGGTAAAGAGTGTAAAAGTTGCACAACTCTGAGGAAAAATTCTTCTCATTTCTGTCTTGAAGGGCAATGGCAACTTGTAAAACAGTGCCCCCCTTCGGTTGGGATTCAGCCATAAGAGGAAATATCCGTTCCTTATCCACCTTCTCAAGACCATTCAGGATCTTATATACTTCAATCAAATCACCCCTCGCTCTTCTAAACCCCAGTGAAAACAAGCTCAACCTGTCCATAAGATCAGCCCGATTCCATGTGTCAATCTGATGAATTTCCTCTGAACCACCTCCAATACATTTACGTTCTTCCTGAAATAAAGAGACACAGTATTCAAGATGTGGTCTCACCAGTGTCCTATAACTGAAGCACATCCTTCCTTTAATATTTAATTCCTCTTGTAATAAAGGATAGCATCCTATTAACTTTCTTGATGACATGGTGTACCTGTATACTAATGTTCTGTGACTCATGCTCTAGCGCACTTAAATCCTCGGAACTCTGCAGCCACTCTCCGATTAGATAATAATCAAGTTGTTATGCCTTGCTGGGATAGCACGTTGGAAATCAAAGCTCACTATTCCTCAGTTGTAATAAAAGTCGATTTTTATAAAATGCACAAAATTCCTCAATTTACCTGACTTTACAGGTCAACAGTTGTGTACTGTAAGTGTATAGCTCTACTGACTAAAACTCTAATTGCTTTATAAATTCCCCCTTATGCACGTGCATGTGTTTATACACATACACCCATTTTTCCTTCATGTGTGCATGGGTGGAGGGAAGGACTGAGAAAGCAGTTCAGAGGATCCCATCCACAGGGTTTGCTGAGATGATTCTTGTGCTGATCTGAATACTGCTTCTCAGTCTTCCTTCTCCAGATGCTTCTGTTGATTTGCATGAGGTGCAGGGTGGCTGGTTAACTTCTAAAACATCTCTGACTTATTAATTAAAAGTCACAGCTTACAGCAACTGAAGAAAAGATAACATTGGTTTACTTCAGGTTTGAACAGGCTTTTAATGCAGAGAACAGAGAGAACTTCTGAGCTGATGGAGATCTAGTAACTTCTCTGTATCTTATTTAGAGCTGCAAGATGTTCACCTACTTAAGCGCCTATTACATAATTGTTAACAAACAGAAAGCCTTTGTCACGGATAACTGGCAGGTAGTCCACACAGCAAAGTTACATTTGTACACAATCCCCTCGGCTCCAGTTCATCTGCAATCACAATTTAACCACAGCTGACATGAATGTCAGGTCACTTGCTTTCAAAACATGCAGCAATCCTCCAACCATGCCTAGTTAACAAAACAATTCATTTCTCACTTCAGTCCCTAATTAGAAAAACAGAAAATGAAAAAATGCAAATATTTACAAGGCGAGCAACTTTGCATTTTCCCACATTTTACTCCATCTGCCAGACTTTTAGCCCACTCCCACAACCTTTCTGTATCCATCTGCATCTTTATGTCCACTTCGCAACATATTTCCCCCCTATTTTTGTGTCCGCTGTGAATTTAGCAGCCACACCTTCACTTCCCTCACTTTAGTCATTGTAAATTATAAAATGTTGATGGCCCAGCACAGTACCCAGTGGGACCCCACTTGCCATATTCTGTGAAATAGTAAAAGACTGTTGTGTGCGTACTCTCTTTTTCTGCCAGCCAGCCAATCTTCTGTCCATGCTGACATTGTAATGCCCACACTGTGAGCTTCCATGTTGCACAATAACCTGTTGTTTGGAATTTATCAAATGCCTCTGGAAATCCAAGTCACGTTCGCCAACAGGCTCCCCAATCTCCACAGCATGTTATCCTTCAAAGAACTCCAATAAATTGGTTAAACTTGATTTCCTTTTCATATAACCATGCCTGCTCTTGTCAATGACCTTGAGTTTTTCCAAGCTCCAGTTAGAACTTCCTGAAGACTGCAAAGGAAGCCCATGTTGGAAATAGAGCACAGTAATCTTCCTCCTATCTTAAACCACGATATGACCGAACCAAATCCTTAAAAGCAGTTTATTTATTCAATAACATGTTCTCATCTATGGGATCTCACTGTACACAGATTGGTTGCTGTCTTTTGTATCTATGATTCAGATGTTAGTCACTGGCTGTTGAAGCTATTTTGACAACCTCAGGTTTCAAAAGCTAGGATCACGCTGTAAGTTAATTGTATGTTTGTTATCCTTCGAGAGGGCTGAGGATGTCCTTCTCACTGCTATCTCCGCGGTGTCACCCCACAGGTCCCGAGCTCGGAGGTGAGTTCCCTGTTCAGGACATGAGGACCGGAGATGGCGGCCTCCTGCAGGTGACCCTGGAAGGGATCAATCTAAAGTTTGTGCAAAGCCAGGTAAGTGAGTTGGCGGAGGAGCGAGGCATGGGAGGGGCTGGTCACCCGGCTTGAGGCTTCATCTGGGCCCCGACGTATCTGTCCGTGTCCGTGATCAGTTTCATTTGCTCGGTGTTGTTCCCTATTTTTTTTATTTCTGTTGCTGGGTAAAGAGAGGCGAGGTTTTGACATAGTAGCAGTGCTGTGGTTCCCGTGTGCTGTGTGTGTGTCTGCACTCGCTATCCTTCTGCTACGTTACCTGTGGGCTCAGCCTGTCCTTCGCTTGCTCCGAGGTGTTGCTTGATTTGACGATTTCTTTCCAGTCTTTACGTTGGTGAGAGGTAGGTATCCCTTTTGAAATGTACAAAAGTAATAAAGGCTGATTGCTCTACACCCTTCTTAACTGCTAGGTTTAAATCAAGCTTCTGTGAAGTCTGACTGACTCCCTTCCTGCTGTGCACAGATCCCATGCTTATTCCACTAACCAGTTCAGAGGTGGGGGGAGGCGCAGTGCTGCTGATGATTTAAATCTGAATGTTGTCCATCCATTCCTCATCCCCCAGCCTTCTCTGTCCTTCCTTGCTACCATATGCTCTGTGGATATGCGTGCCACACACTGTACACCTGTGCCCCTGTAACTTCAGCCAGCAGCCTCTGTAAATGGGGGCCAAGCTGGGCAAGCAGTGTTCTGGCTCCACACCACACAGCACTGGGGCAAAGGTTGACATTGCAGGTCCATGAGCTGATGACAGTGGGGATGGGAGCCAGTCCACGTAGTTGGTGGGAATGGGTGAATACAAATGACATGATGGGGGTGCGTTGTGGGGGAGTTGCAGTTTGGGGTTTGGCATGCAGGAGGTGAGTGTGGATAGAAGGATAGACTGGTGACAAGGAGCTAGAGCTGTGGGTAGGTCAGTAAGAGGTGTAGAAAGGGGAAATGAATATGTTTGTGGTTGGCAGGAGTGGGTATGAGTGGGGGGAGGCATGCACGGTGAAAGGGGACTGGCTGGTGAGAGAGTGTACATGGTGGTAGGGGGGAGAGTTGGGGGGATAAGACTGAGTGGAGGTATGGGGAGGTGCATGTGGGGTGTGGGTATGGGTGGTGCCAGCGTGATGAGTGTGGGGATAGGGATGAGGGTGTGGGTGGGAGGTAGTGCTGAGAGTTCAGGTGGGTGTGCGTGGTACAGGTGGTAGGATTGGCGGTTTGGGCCTAGCCACTGTGGTGGTGTTTATTGGGTATTAGGAATGGGAGTCTGTGTCTGGGCACTGTGGTGCTATTTACTGAGTGGTAGGGATGGGAATTTTGTCTGGACACTGTGGTGCTGTGTATTAGGTGGTAGGGAGGAGGGGTGTGGGCAGTGTGATGCTGTGTATTGGGTGATGCACCTATGGGTTGCTCTGGAGATTTATTGTGGATCTGGGAAATGTCTTCAGTGGCTGTTGGTGTGCATCTAGACTGCTGAAGTGTTTGCAGAATAGAGTCAATGGACACTGGGTGTGTTTTGGAGAGACCTGATGCTGGACAGTCGATCTGATTTCTGTCTCCAGGGATATGACCAGATACCCAAACTCCCATCGTACTTGGATACAGCTTCAGTGTAGCTCTGAAGGGTAACTAGGCAAATGATGGGACCTTACTGTAGCGACTCTGGTCCAGTATTACAGCACATTCTGAATACAAAAGAGGCAGCAATTTAATTCTGCATTTGGATGAGAGTAGCAATTTATAAACAGGGGACGTGCATGTGGGAACTCTGATTCAAACCATTGGTGGAGTTCACAAATTAGAATTGAAAAAATCCCAAAATAGAGAGAGTACTCTGGAGAATGGGATCAAGTTGGCAAGAGTTAGTCATGGGTTTGAGGAGTGAGCAAGCTGTTGGCTCCCTGGAAACTCCCTGGTTTCTGAAAAGCTATGGAATGTCAACATGAAAGTGGGATTAAACGAACTGGAGTTTGACAAAACCTTTGGATGAAATGCAATTTGATGCCTTCTCTTATTGGTGTTAGCAGGTGAGTGCAATGAGTCAGGCTGGAGGTTAGAATGTGTGAGAATGGAAAGGAGAGTGAATTCAACTGGATGAGTATTATTAGAGATCGGAAATGGGATTTTAAAAAAATTCATTCAGTGAATATTAAAGTCGCTGGCTGGGTCAGCATTTATTGCCTGTCCCTAGTTGCCCTTGAGAAGGTGGTGGTGGTGAGCTGGTGCCTTCAACCACGGCAGTCCATTTGTTGTAGGTAGACCAACAATGCCCTAAAGGAACTAATACCAGCATTTGAATCCACTTAATCTGAAGGAATAGCAATAAATTTTCAAGTCAGGTTAGCAAGTAGCTTTGAGGGGAACTTGCATGGGTGGTGTTCCCATGTATCTGCTGCCCTTGTCCTTCTAGATGGAAGTGGTCATGGATTTGGACGATGCTGTTGACGAAGTAGGGTGGAAAATTAAAGCAAATGGAGAATGCAGGAATTGGAATAAACTGGGGGGAGACATTAAAAGGTGCAAGGAGTGAGGGCAACTGTGAGCTGGAAAGGGTTTAGTTGGTTTGGAATTGAGGACTAAGAGGACTGTAATGCTTTGAACCAGATTCACTTGGAGTGGAATTGGGGAAACATACATAAACCTTAGGAAAAAAAAAACTGCTGCTAATGACAATTGATGTGCAATCTATTGTTAATTTTAAAGCTAAGATTGATAGATATCCGTGTCTTGGTTTAAATCTAAGGCTGAGAGGAAAAAATTGATTGGTGGGTGGATAGATGAAGTTCTCATCTAGATCGTCACTGACCTAATTCAATGGCCTGCTCTTGCCTCTATGTTTAGATTGTAGTTGTCTGTTGTTACATCCGCAAGCTACAGTTAAACGGGCTGAATAGCCTGTTTGCTGGGACACTGCCTGCAGTCCACAATGAAGGAGGGCCCAATGCGGTGTGCTATGATTGGTGTTCCGTAACTGTACTCCGATTCTGCGCAGACTTTGTGCCTGGCATGTATGCACAAACCTGTTTAGAGTTGTGATTATATATTTGTACCATGCACAGCCGTGTTATTCAAGTGTTAGGTGGGGCTGTACATAAATGTGAAGGGAAGCACTGCATGTGTGGAATAGGCCATCCCTTGGTGTGACCTGCTGGTCCCCAGGCCTGGTCAACAATGGGGGAGAGAGAGACTGGTATGAGTGTGTTGGGTGTCTCCTTGCTGTGCCTGATATTAATTCCAACCATTTCTCTTCCATGCTTTCTCCTCCTGCAAGGAGTGGAAGGTACCAGTCTACTGCTGTCTATGCTTCTTAGCAAGAATTTCTCATTCTTTTAGTTTTGCTTTGTGGCAGATTGTGGGAATTATCTTTTTATTTATTACATGCTCTTTGCTAAATCTGCAATGACATTCAGCATTTTGTTTTCTGAAAGAAGATAGCATTCCTAGCTTTTAGGTTTTTCTTAATCTTGGCTTATAACCTTTTATCTTTTTGTTTGTTTTCAGGTTTTCATTGAACTGAATCACATTAAAAAGTGCAATACAGTCAAAGGAGTCTTTGTCCTGGAAGAATTTGGTAATTAACTATTTGATGTTGGCTCTGTGCCAGACTCAAGCAACACTCTGACCTCTGAGTGACAGAGACACTCCTTCACAGGAATTGGAGGGATGCGAAGCAGACCAGGAGAGGCTTGACATTGAAAGCCCAGCCGCTGGCTGCAGTGGGAAACCAGGGCTCAGTCAGTCTCAGACATTTGCACAGTTTCAGTGAGATTGACATGGAGTTACTGGAGGTCTCCTCTGGCTGATGGCCATGAGCTGGAGCTTTCTTTATTGTTTTGATGTTTCACAATGACCTCATGGTAAAGGGAGCAGGAACTGAGGCCAACGGGGTCGGTTATACACATTTGCCCAATGCTGTTCCTATGACTGATGGTGTAGTGATATTGAAAAAACAGCACTACACTTCCCATTTATGAGGGTGTTGTTGTATCAAAAGGAAAATGCTATATTTTCCCAGTGACTGAGGATTCTGTAATATTGAAAGGATAGTGCTGCATTCCCCGGTGGCTCAGGGTGTTGTCATATTGAAAGAAATGCTACAATTTCCCAGTGACTGAGTGTGTTGGAATATTGAAAAGACAGAGCAGCATTTCTCCAGGAGTGAGGTGGAGCGAACATTCGCTCAGGAAAGATGTGCCTTTCCCTTCTGTGTGAATCTTGTCCCTGCTCCCTACTCACTGTCTGGTGCTACTGGACCTCAGGATTGAAAGGTTGCTCAAAGCAGCCAGTAGGGGAAGGGGAATTGATTGCTCCTCCTCACAGCTCAGGACAGAAACCAGTACCATTAGAGGCCTTCAGAGACAAGTGAGCATTGAAGAGCCAGTGTACATAACCACCCCAGACAACGTTATTTTGATTTAGTAAGTTTACATTCCTTTTTGTAAGTTTTTGGTAAGAATCCCAGAATAAACCTCTGTGTCTGTTGCCCTGAATCCCACTGCAAGACCCTTGTGTCCATAGCCCTGAATCCCAGTATAACCCAACATATGTGCAGCACTGAATTCAGTGTAGCCTCCTAATGGACACAGATGCACTGAAGTCCACTGTAAACCCCATGTACATGCTGTGCTGAATTACAGGGAAATTCTGTCAGGACGTTATTTCACAGTCTGGGTCTGTACGTACAGCATCAGTGGCATATCCGAATGTCACAAGGTTGAATGGACATTGGGCCCTCCAGTTGCTTTTAGAGTGTGTGTGTGTGTCCCATATATTAAAGAGGCTTCCTATGAGTGTGTCGGTTTTTGCCGACTCGGTTGTAACAAGGATGTGATTCAGTACCAGGTCCTGTGCACTGGAGGAGGTTGGTGTTCATTGTTGGTTTATTGTGATATTTTTTGCTAACTGCTGAAATTCAGGTGTCACTGGCTGGGCCAGCGTTTGTTGTCCATCCCTTGAGAAGATGGTGGTGAGCTGCCTTCTTGAAGCACTGCAGTCAGTGTGGTCTAGATAAACCCACTGCATCTTAGGGAGAGAATTCCAGTGGCAATGAAGGAACAGTGATGTATTTCCAAGTCAGGAACTTGCAGCTGGTGGTGTTCCCATGTATCTGCTGCCCTCGTCCTTCGAGATGTAAGTGGTTGTGGGTTTGGATGGTGCTATCTAAGGATCTTTGCAATGAATCTCATAAATAGGTACTCTGGCTATTTTCAATACTACTGAGCATTGAAGAAGAGGAATATTCTTAATGGTGCCAGTCAAGCAGGCTGCTTTGTCCTGGATGGTGTCAAGCCTCTTGCAAGCAAGTGGGGAGTATTCCATTACATTCCTGAACTGTGCCTTGTTGATGGTGGACAGGCTTTGGGAAGTGAGGAGGAGAGTCACTCCCTGCAGCATTCCTATCCTCTGACCTGCTCTTCTAGCCACTGTAATTATATGGTGCGTCCAGTTCAGTTTCTGGTCAGTGGTAACCCCAGAGTGTTGTTTGTGGGGTACTTGGTGATGGTAATGCCATAGAATATCTGCAGGATGGCATATTTGAGTTCATGGCTAGGACTACCCAGCGAAGAATGGGGGCCAGAGGTTTGGATGCCCAGGGGGGTTAGGGATGACCCAGAGGTAAGAAGTGCCCAGGGGTGGGGAGCTGCATGTTTGGAGTGTGGGGAATGGGAAGCTGGAAGTTTGCAGAGCAAGGAGTGCCTCTGTTTCTCTCCTGCCTTTTATTTGAGTGTCTGCTGTGTTCATGGTGATACGACATAGACTCGCTGCCTTGACTACTCTGAAAACCTTGCTACTCCTTCAGGTAATGAGAGTACATTAGATTCACCATATCTTTTCCTGTTGCTGCTGTAAGTTTGTTCCTCCTTGCCTGATTGTCTGGTCCACTGAGTGTCCTTATGAATCCCCTCCCCTGTTTTCCTCACTATACTGTTGCTCTCTCCTCCTGCCTTTCATCCTCTCCCTGCAGCACAACCTTCCCCCACCCACCGCCCTCACAAAAAAACCTTTCTTTCATACCAAACCTAATGTTGATCTGATATTGTACATTTAGTTTTTAGCAGCATCTGCTTTGTGGTGAGTGCAGAAATCCATGACTATCAATTCTAGTGCTGATCAGGACTCTAACTTGCCAGTGCAGTGTCTGAGGGAATGCAGCACTCGAGGGAACTATGCAATTATTTATACACAACTCTTTTCAATGGCATATTGTGTCCTGGTGTCACGTGTCCCACAGCAGATATCCTTGAAGCTGGCCTATCTGTGCGGTCTGAAAGAATGCCATCTGGCCTCCATTTCAATAGTGATTATGCTTCAAACATGCTTCACTGGCTGTGAAATGCCTTGACAAATCCTACTACATGGAAGTGCCACATAATTGTAAAGGTTTTGTCTTTGAGTCAATTGCATTTCAAATGCATTCCAGAAGAACTTCTCCCCTACAGTGCAGATATTTTCCCCTGGGGGGCAGTGTGAGCCTCTTGTTAACTGGAACAATGACTCTAAGCGTTGCTCCGCTCATTCTTCCCAGTGCACTCTGACCTGCGGAGGCCAGGCTCATTAACACACATTTGTAGGTGAAATTCTGGGAATGATGCCTTGGTGCAAGTGCTTTAATGCCCACCCTGTGTATTCATGATACTGCATACACCTTCAATATGTGACTCTACAAATGCATTCTGAATGTCCAACTCTGGATTAAACCTCAGTGTGTATACAGATTGGTTATGTAACACATGTCATTCATCTTCAGTGTACGTTTATATATATAGTCTGGATACATGACATGGCACACAGCCTGATGAGGTCTGTGCGTTTACATTTGTTTGTATCCATAGCTCCATCTGTGACATTGTGTACAGCCTCAGTACATTTGTGTACCAAAACACACACAAACTGAGGATGCATTTAATGATTCACATACCTGGACTGTATTCAAATATATACAGACTGATGCTGTGTACAGTGGTTCATACATTCAGTCTGTTTATATACACCCAAACTGGTGTTGTATGCAATGTTTCATATCTTCAGACTGTGTTTATGTGCACATGGACTGAGCCTTTGTATGAAACATTGCATGCATCTTTGATCCATGTATATAAACACAATCTGAGTGTGAAACACTGCATACAGCCTCAGTCTGTGTAAACAAACACAGTCTGAGTGTGTGAAACAGTGTACAGCCTCAGTCTGTGTGTCAGAACTCCAAATGCATGTAAGTCTGTTGTTGAATTTGCCACCGAATCACAGGATTGTTATGGTACAGAAGGAGGCCATTCAGCCCCTCATTGCTAGCACATGTTTTCTGAATGAGCAGAGTGCCATTCTCCTGATCTTTGCCCATAACTCATATACTGTTTACATAATCATCTAATGCTTCAGTTGACCCTGCCTCCAGTATAGTAGACACCACCTTCGCTGCTGTACCGACAATCAATGATGAGGGTAAGCATGAATCCAGATGTTGCTGAACAAGATAAACAAATGGGCAGGCTGATGCTTATATTCATTGCAGTTTTGAAGAACGAGAGGCGATCTTATTGAGACATATGCGATTCTCAGAGGGCTTGACAAGGTAGATGCTGAACCAGTCTTTGCTCACGTGGGAGAGATTAGAACCAGGGATATGGCTAAAATAAATGTCCTACCTTTTAAGAAGGAAATGTGTTAATCTTTGGAATGCTCTTCCCTGGAAAGCAGTGCAAACATGATCATTGTGTTTATCCATGGTTGAGTTAGACAGATTGTTGATAAACAGGAGAGTTGAGGATGGGATGGGGGTTGGGTGGTCAGATAGGAAAGTGGAACTGAGACCACAGCCACATCAGCTAGGATCTTATTGAAGGACTGAATGGCCTATTGCTTCTAATTCACATGTTCCTGTGCTCCATGAGCCTCTCAAAACTGTGTTTGCTCACCATTGACCAATGTAACATTGAGAACACTTCTTGGCATTTGGCCATTTGATCTGGAGCCTTCACTTTTAAAAGTATGGTTAGTGTTCATTACGGCCAAGCAATATATTTGCAAAAATAACTACAGCGCCACATGGTCTCTGCTGTATAGTGTCATTGTTGGAAATTTAAAAATTAGTTATTACTTGTTTAAGTTTCATTGGAGTCTCTTTTTTTCCTCATTTCATTGCTTTCTGAGTCTGGCTTGATGCTGAATTCATGAATGGAAATATTCAGTACTCTGTCCTATTCCCATTCTGACCTCTGTGTCCTTGGACTCCTGCACTATTCCCATGACGTGCAGTGTAAGCTGGAGAAACAACACCTCATCTTTCAATCAGGCATTTTATAGCCTTCTGAACTCTGCATTGCGTTGAAATATTTCAGTTCGTCGCCTCTGTCCCTGTTGTTTTTACAAAGCAGCTGTTGGTCACGCTTCTATTTTTTCCATTTACTCCACCTGCCCTAGATTTTTTTATTTCTTTACGTATCCCATTTCTAACTAATTTTACCCTTTGCACCATTGGCTTCTCCTGTCCTTTTAATCTCTCCTACATTCCACATTTGTGCTCTTTTGTGTCCTCCTCCTCCTCCTGCTTTCCCTGCCTCTGCACTTGTTTAAGATCAATTCCATTCTAAATTCTTCCAGTTCTGACAGAGGGTCATTGACCTGAAAAATGCCCTCTATTTCTCTCTGTGTATATGCTGCCAGACCTGCTGAGTATCTTTAGCATTTTCTGCACTTTCCTGTCACTTTGTGCAGCTCGTGGTCAGTCTGGTTAAGGTGTGCAGTTGTTTGCTTGCTGTCCTGTCAAGGGCATCATACTGTTAGCATTGCCCACTAACACCACCTTTGCACAGCAAGTGCTTGTGAAAATTCAGCATGTAGGAACAAGTCTGAGGTTCACCGACTGCAGTAAATTCTGGCCCACTGTCAAGTGAATTGTGTATATGCAGTCTCAGCTTTGTTGTATGTTTCAATAGCGTTACCTCTCACTCTACTAAACTGCAGTGTTACAAAATCTTTTTCTGACAAGGGCAAAGTTTACATCATGAATATGTGTCCACTCTTTAAACGTAAATCCAAGCATTTATATATAAAGGACCTCTGTATGTATGTCCTAGGATGTGTCCTTTTCATAAGCTCTACATGAGACAGTGTAAGTCCATGGTCCTGCTGTGACCACACACGTAGGAGGTCCGGCTGTGTGACCATGGGTGGGCACGGTCAGGCTGTGTGACCTCGGTCAGGCTGTGTGACCTCAGTCCAGCTGTGTGACCGTGGGTGGGCGCGGTCGGGCTGTGTGACCGCGGTCCGGCAGTGTGACCTCGGTCCACCTGTGTAACCACGGATGTACACAGGATATTTATGCATCTATGCTGGTGTATGTGGCCTTGGTCAGAGTCGATCTATAAACATGGACATCCCTTGTGTGTATGAAAGCAGCCTGTATGTAAATGGAGTCTCTGATTGCAATGACCTTTCTTTGTTTCTGGGTTAAATTGTTTCTTTTGTCTCTTGCTCGTCTGGTTCCAGTTCCACAAACTAACGAAGTGGTGACCCACAAGTACAAGACTCCAATGGTGAGTAGCTTTTTAATTCTTTACTGTTATTAATGTGCTTGACCCTCCATGGTTTGCTCTTCCCAAACCACACTATTAAAACCTGTGCTGGGTTAGAGGTTCCAAAACTGGCTCGTGAGCAATTCTCTCAATTTTTAAATTCTGATTTCCGATGTGCTATGCAAGCTGTCTCAAGGTGCAGTCTCTGCTGATGTCACGGTGTGGTGTGTGGGCTCTCTGCTCA